TGAGATATTAAGAAAAAGAAGAAAAACCCTAGATGTGTGTATGTATATATATGCATGTGCATGCCTGTGTAGTGTGACCTAAGTGTAAGTAGAAGTAGCAAGATATACCTGTTATCCAGCATGTTTATGAGACAGAAAAAAGACACAAGCAATCCTACCATCATGTAAAACAGTTAAAGCTTCTGTTTCACAGTCACACATCTATAAATATATTAAACAACCATGGTGATACAATGCATCCCTGTCTAAGGCCTACTTTTATTGTAAAATAATCTCTCACTCTCCTACATACCCTAACCTGAGCCTCACTATCCTTGTAAAATCTCTAAACTGCTTTCAGTAACCTACTACCTACTCCATGCACGTGAAACATTTGCTGCACTGCTCTCCTATCCATCCTATCACAAGCCTTTACCAAATCCATAAATGCAACAAAGACTTCTTTACTCTTATCTAAATAATGTTCACTTATATGCTTCAATGTAAACACTTGGTCTACACATCCCCTACACTTCCTAAACCCTCCTTGTTCATCTGCAATCCTGCTCTATGTCTTAGCCTTAATTCTTTCAATAATAGCACTACCATACACCTTACCAGGTATACTCAAACTCTCTCTTTTGTCACCTCTGCCTTTATGCAAAGGACCTATGAATGCTCTCTGCCAATCCTTAGGTACTTCCCCTCTTTCATACATTTATTAATAAAAGCACCAACCAGTCTTGCATCTTGCACAAACTTATATTTTAGTTTAGGTTGTCATTTTGTAGGTCTTTGGAACTTCTAATACCTGTGTGTGACTTTACAAGTATGGACATCATTTTCCAAATTTGGTTGATAAATATGTGGTGAAAAGCATTTTTAGCATTACCCTATCCAAATATCTAAAGGCTATTTTAAAGTCAACCAATGTCACACAGGAGTTTAGTATTAGTACAGCCTCTCCTCACTTAGCGACGTACTCACTTACCAACACCTCAGACTTACGAAGGGCTCTCTGACCAGTATTCATACCTAAATAATGTACATTAGAGCTGATTTCCTCTATTCTGTTTATTTCAATATACAGTATACAGTGGTCCCTCTTTTATCGTTCTTAATCCGTTCCTGGAAGTGGGACTATTATCGAAATAGACGATTTTCGAATCAATTTTCCCCATAAGAAATAATGTAAATACAATTAATCCGTTCCTGACACCCAGAAGTATTAAAACAAAAAAATTTTTTTTACATGAAATACAGATGTAGTACATAAACAATACAATGGGAAATGATGTATGAAACATTAACAGCATAACACTTACCTTTATTGGTGATTCTTCTTAGTGTATGGAAGACTGGAGGAGAGAGATTAGGATTAGTTACTGTTTGGAATGGGAATCCCCTTCCATCAACACCTCAGGTACTACCAAGTCCTTTTCTGGGGTTACTTCTCTTCTCTGTTTCTTAATGCCACTAGGACCAGCTTGAGTGTCACTGGAGTCCTGTCTCACAAAAAAACTGTCCAGAGAGCTCTGTTTCTGGCATCTCTTTAACCCTTAAAAGGTCCAAACGTATATATACGTTCACACGCGTAGCACCCCAAACGTATATATACGTTTTCTTTGTCATTCATTCAACATTGCCACGATAAGCCTGAGTCACCTAGACATGAGAGAATGGGTGTGCGCACTCACTGTGTGCCACATTAAAACAATTGGGGATGCCTGGGTACCACATGCTCTTTTTTCCTTTTAAAAAAAAAAAAAAAAAGATTTTTTTTTCTCTCAAAAAATTTGGGGCACTACGCGAGTGAACGTATATATACGTTTGGACCGTTTAAGGGTTAAAGCTTCCCTAAAATGGGCCAAGACCCTGTCACTGTACAAGCTGCCGATATGGCTTGCAACATCCTTCTCAGGGCGATGTTTCTCCATAAATCTTTCCATCCTACCCCACATTTCAAAAATCTCCTTAATTTCTGAAGAAGGAACCTTATTCCATCTCTCTTCCTCCTCCTCTGCAGCAAGATTCTGAGCTGCGATCTGTTGCTGTTCCTGGTGAAGCTCTTGCAGCTCCTCAGTGGTTAGGTCTTCCATGTGGTCCTCCACCAACTCTTCCACATCCTCCAAACTCACATCCAACCCTATGGAACTCCCCAGTGCCACAATAGAGTTCACAACTGACATAGGCTCATCAGGGTAGCCACAAACTCTTCAAAATCCCTTTTGTGGACACAATCTGGCCACAATTTTCTCCAAGCAGAGTTCAAAGTCCTGGTAGTCACTCCCTCCCAAGCCTTACCTACAAGGCTTATGCAATGGAGGATACTGATGTGTTCTTTCCAAAAATCTCTTAGGATCAAATTAGTGTCTGAGGTCACATGCTAATAACATAGAAACATGGAATATACTCTAGAATGAATAAAATAAATCATTATGTATGTCACGAGGTGTTGTGTTGTGTTGTTGTTGGGTATATAAGGTCACTGAGAGTAAGCCGTCCATAATGGTGGTGAAGCAGCAGCTGAGGCGGCGGTGTTTTCTGTAGCCCTACATAACTCCAACAACATTGAAGGAGTTAGTAGAATTGCTGAATCACTGAAGAAGGCACCCTCTACCACCATCACTACCACCTTCTACCACTATTACAACTGCTATCACCATCACTACCACCTTCTACCACTATTACAACTGCTACCACCACTGCTGCCACCTTCTACCACTATTACAACTGCTACCACCTTATCACTACCACTATTAACTGTACCCCATCACCTCTACTATTACAACTGACCCATACTACCACCTTTACCCATTCAACTGCTACCACCATCATACCACCTTCTACCACCATCACTACCACCCTATACCACCATCAACCACTTTCACAACTGCTTCCACTCTAGCACCACCACCTCCGTATTTTTCTACAAACTTTTTCTTAGATTATGTGTGTTTCTCACATTCTTTACCAAAGGGCTGGCACTAGAAAGTTTCTTTGGAGCCATGGTGAGTTATTTAGCAGTTGCAAGCACTAAAACGAATGGAATATTATGAAATGTATTGTATGAACTCGTGGGATCATCCTCAGTCACTGATAAACAATGGCACACTGGCTGGGAATGGAGTGTGGGGCGGCTCAGGGCTGTGTGTACACATCCCAGATGAACAACGATTAGCAAGTCAACGGACCATTTGCGAGCCAACGTTTGGACAAAATAATGCGACGATTTCCGACAAGGACGACTATCGAGCCGGACTATTATCGAGGGACCAATTTACTACAGTATAAACATTTAAAAATATACCAGAAATGTTATAAATGGTGCAAAAATGACATTAAAACAATATCAAAGATGGCTGACACAAATTCACTATCATTACAGTATGCTCCTCACTTACCGATGAATTTGTTTAACCCTTTCAGGGTTGGTTCCGTACTAGTACGGCTTGCATGCAAGGGTTGGTGCCATACTAGTACACATAAATTCTAGCACCTTCAAATCTAGCGAGAGAAAGTTGGTAGGCCTACATATGAAAGAATGGGTCTATGTGGTCAGTGTGCGTGGTATAAAAGAAATCCTGCAGCACACAGTGCATGATGAGAAAAAAAAAAAAAACTCTGACCATGTTTTTGGTTTAAAACAGCGACTTTGCAGTGTATTTTCGTATGCTATTTATGGTTGCATTCTAGTTTTCTTGGTTTTATTTTATAGAATGAGAAACACATTATGGAAATTGAGATGATTTTGATTGGTTTCATAATGAAAAGTACCAGGAAATTGAGCTCGAAGTAGCAGAAACGTTCGATTTTTGCCAAAGTTCAAAGTAAACAAATCATGCCACGTGTCCAATACACGTCAACTGGTGAGTGTAATATTCTTTCACAAGTGCCCTGATATTATTTATACCATTTCTATGCCATTTCTACACTGCGTAACATAAATCTTTTATTTTTTGTGAGACTAAAAATTCAAAGTGGAAAGGAAAAGAAATTAACAGAGGCCTGCCCACATGAGTAATGAACAGAGGAAATGTTCTTTTAGTGCCAGAAATGTCTGTCTTGTTTATTCTGGACCCTATTTGGAAATTGGCATCTTTTGAAATTTGTGTGAAATTGGCAAAATTGCCAATTTCTGACCATGTTATTGGATAGTTGAAATCGGTAAATGGGTGGTTTCTTGTACTCATTCGATAGAAAAAATGGAGTTCTAGCGAAATAGGTATGATTTTTGTCGACTGGTACATAGGAATTGGGGAATTGGCTGAAAATAGGGCTCAAAGTGGGCAAAATCGCCGATGCGTAAACATCGTCGAGACCGCTAACTTCGCGAGAGCATAATTCCGTAAGTTTTCCATCAAATTTCATACTTTTGGTGTCGATATGATCGGGAAAAGATTCTCTATCATTTCATAAGAAAAATAATAATTTTTTTTTTTAAATTTCCAACCCTGAGAACAAGTTTAGGAGAGGGCCTGCCGACCCTGAAAGGGTTAACAATGTAGTCTTAGGAACGGAACTCCATTGTTAAGTAAGGAGAGGCTGTATTTCATTTGTGATCTTCTGGTAATAATTTTTTAACTTTTAAGCCCCTCTCATTGTAAAATCTTTTTAATATTTTATTGCACAATTTACATCCTAACCCCTTCTCTTGTAATAATTACTAAATTTTAAAACAGAAACTTTCATTTTTATTTTTAGGTCACCTCACTTGAGTGGGATACGGCCAGTTTGTTGAAAAGAAAAATTTTTTACCATCTTTGTATAACCTGTTTTCACTTTTTTCTGTGTCTCTTACATGGCACTTATCTACACTGAACTTCATCAATTTATCCTTCCATTTACTCAGTGTCTTACAGCATGATTAGTCATTTTTTCTTGCATAAGATTTTTGGGTGTGTGAATAAGTGTGTAAAAATTACAAAGTACTCCCAAATAAGAGTGGTAATGGCAATAAAATATTGGATATTTTCAAGGTGAATATTACATTAATGGTGACAACATTATACTGTACATACCATGTTCTGGAATTGCATCCTCTTCTATCTTTATAGTATTTGATGCCTTATCCAGTCTTTTCTTGTCTATCACCATTTGTCTCTGTGGATAAATTATAATTAATAAACAGCATATATTTTCATATACCCCAAGACTTATTGTAAAATCAATATAAGTGAAGATTTAATAGCCTTTGATTAAAAAATATGGAGAACAGTAGTGCCTTTGAACTAAATTCAAAAATAAATTCTTCCATTCCATTCCCTTAGTTGACTTTCTAAGTGAAAACCAAATATGTGAATATTTAGCCAAATTAAGCCTCAATAAGCACATTGTTCTGATGGATACTAGCAATATTAAATCTCTCCTACCTTAACTTGCTCTCAATATTTATATGTTCAGGAGGATGCTAACAGTATTATAACTTTCACAAATATATAATTTTAACAACTAGATTACACTGCAAATGAAAGCAGAGGAGCATTTTTTTTTACATCAATCACTTTCTATGTTGGCCAGGTGACCCACAGAAAGGAAAAATCATCACTTTCAGTAGCTGTTTTGTCAGAAATGCACAGATACTGTATCATAATTGGACAGACCCTCCAAATAACAGCATCTTCAACCATACTGAATTCAGAGTGCAGGTAGTTTACATCTCACCTCACGAACTTAAGTCCAATCAAATTTACAGTTACGTTACGCTCACACATCACCCACCCAATTACTCCTATCTTGACCCAGCAGGTGGTTTTGTGCCTTATACAAGACCACTGACTTACATCCCAGCAGAGTATTTTAATATAATTTATCCTAATTTAATTAATTAATTAATTAATTACAGATGAGGGTAACCCCTGGCAATAACTAACCACCTTCATTGCTAATTCAACATGAACAATACTCTCATCTGTGCATAAAGCTGTTTCAGTTTCCTACCTGTCTCAAGGCAGGTACCTTAAACACCCACCAACTCAAGCTGAACATAATCATGAGGAGCCAACATTAGAGGATTCGTTATCAGTGTTGGAGAACTCATGTACAGTTTCATGAACACTAGACGTCCTGACATAGCTGTAGTTGAAACATTTTGGACAACAGGACTCCAGAAAATTTTGCAAGAACTGCTGGCTACACCTCATGGATGAGAAGAGACAGGCAAGGACAAGGTGGTATTGCTGTATGCTTCTCTAAAAGCACACATGCCCAGCTCACTGATGTTGTCATCCCTACTCACCTAGAAATGATGTTCCTTAAGCTTTGCATAAAAACTAGTACCACTGTATTAGTATGTGCAATGTACAGACCTCAGTGGCAACATGCAGACCCCCATCAACTTCCTAATGGAAAATGTGGACTCCCTTCAGCTTCAACGCAAATGTCAACATATTATAACTGTTGGTGACCTCAACCAACATCTTATACAAAGGGACTTTGATGACCTTCTTGCAGTGTTTGACATGAGAAACTTTGTTGATTTCCCTACTCACATCTCTGGCTCCTCCCTCAACTCAGAAGTGAGTGATCTGTCGGAAGGCATAGTCACTTGCCAACCCCTTGGCTATGTTGGATCATCTGACCACAAGGCTAGTTTTACAACACGGAAGATCCCAACAGAACAAGGCGAGGAATCTTCATGTACAACCTGGCCGTGGGAAAGAGGAAAGTGGCCATCCCTTTGCTCTGAACTCACCACCTCTGATTGGAATGCTCTTCTCCAATGGGATGTTGGCAACCAAGTGAATGTCTTCACTGAACATATCCTTTAATCTACAACAAGAACACATCCCTCACCAGCAGTATGTAACAAAGCCTACAGATCAGCCATGGTTTGGCTTTCATTGTAGAGAGGCTGCTACTGCTAAGTACAAGGTTAGGAGAAGATATGAGAGATATTCCACTACCTATAACAGGAACCTGCACAGGCTAAGCCTGTAGGTATGTGGGTGAAGTTCAAAAGTGGGCCATTTCTAAATGGGAGGCTGACACAAAAAGAAAGTGGCATTAGATAGAGTGGGCTCCAAAACCTGGTGGTCCTTGGTCAAGGAGAGACAAGGTTATCTGCCTGATGAAGTTATTCCACCTCTAAATCGACAGGATGGGACCACCTCTACTAGCAGTCAGAAGAAAGCTGACCTCTTTGCTGAACACTTTGTTGCCAAGATACAAGTTCAATGATCCAGCAAGGGACCCTCCTTGACTAGCTGCAAGAACTGTCAAAGTTGTCAGTGGTGACAATAAGGCAGGAAGAGGTGTATCTTCTTAAATTGCTGGACCAAAAAAAAAAGCTGTGGGCCCAGACAAGCCGAGCCCAAGATTAAGAGAATAGATGTGCAGACCAGTAACCTGCATGTCTAACTCGCATCTCTCATCACTGCCTAGCACAGTGTAAGTAGCCCTCTCTATGGAGAGAAACAAATGTAGTCCTTGTTCACAAAAAGAAGAGCAGAGCAGAAATCAGTAATTACTGACCAGTGTCAGTCCTGTCAATCACTGGTACGATCCTCAAGACAATAATCTCATGGCAAATGACAGTTTTTCATCTACCACTCACTTCTTTGTGACTGTCAATATGGCTTCAGAAAAGGTTACTCTGCTGCTGATCTATTGTTAAACTTCTCTACTAAGTGGAACCAGTCACTGGATGAATACAAACTCAGCTGTGTAGTAGCACTGACATTGCTGGTGCTTTCGAATGAGTATGGCACCAGGGACTCTTGGCAAAACTGCAAGCACTGGGAATTGCAGGCTCTGCACTATGTCTCCTCAGTGATTACCTTCAAGGTTGATCTCTAAGAGTAGTTATCAATGGGACAGAGTTAGCAAGACATCCTACTGGGGCAAGTGTTCCATAGGGAAGTGTAATTGGGCCATTGTTATGGAATGTGTTCTTCAATGACCTCCTCCATCTCATCCCAGAATCCCATGCAGATGCAGATGACTGCACTCTGACATTTATTTATCCAAGAAAGGAAATGCCATCTGCTCTATGCTACATCAATCACCAGCTTACAGCTATATCAGCCTGGGGTAAACGAAGGCAAGTAACATTTGCTCCAGAGAAAACACAAATGATGGGCCTCTTCTAGGCACCATGGACCGGTTAATAGTCTAGGAAGAGCATGTTAAAGGTATGAAATGGAATGGCAGTGTTGGATACTTAGGGATAGAAGATTGCAAATCCTTTTGGGATAGAAATGAGACTCCAAACTGACCAGAAGGACGACGTTGTAACTGGCAAACAAGGCAGCCAGAGAGCAGCCTTGTTTGCCTAGGTTACTTCTATACCATGAGCAGCCATGGTAAGGAGGTAAAGATCTAGCAGAAGAGAGGCATGGTTTACCAAAACAGAAAGCAGAGAGTTACATTAATGAGGGTCAAATCGACATGGGGATTAGTAGTAGGGCATTGCCACAAGGATCAGTTTTTAGAGCCCCCTGTTCAAATTTACATTAATAACCTTGATGAAGGGGATTACGAGTGACACGAGCAAATTGCGATGAACAAAGAGATAGGAGAAATCGTTCCTTTTGGGCCACCCGCCTCAGTGGGATAACGGCTTTTATTTTTTTTTTTTTTTTTGAGAGAGAGAGAGAGACAGACAGACAGAGACTGAGAGACAGAGAGAGAGAGACAGAGAGAGAGAGACAGAGAGAGAGAGAGAGAGAGAATAAATAACAGTGTAGTCCAAAAGTTATTTTACAGCTCTATATATCACTAGTGAGGCCTCATTAGATTATGCTGCTCAGTTTTGGTCTCCTTACTACACGATGGATATAGACTCATTGGAGAACATACAGAGAAGAATGACTAAAATGATTTACTGTGTAAGGAATCTCCCGTATGAAAACAGACTTAAAGCCTTAAATCTCCACTCTCCGGAGAGACGCAGAATGAGGGGAGATATCATCAAAGTGTATAAGTGGATGACGGGCATAAACAAAGAAGATATTAATAAAGTACTGAGGGTGTTGAACCAGGTAAGAACCAGAAATAATGGATTTAAGTTGGACAAATTTAGATTTAGAAAGAACATAGGTAAGTACTGGTTTTTGAACAGAGTTGTGGATGCATGAAACAATCTTCCCAGTAGGGTGATAGAGGCTAGGACCTTGGGTAGCTTTAAACAGAGACTGGACAAATATATGAGTGGGAGGGGCTGGGTTTGATTGGTGTCATTGGGTACGGGAGTAAATTCTTGGGTAGCTTTGGGTAGGGCCTATTTTGATAAGGATCTGCCTTGTATGGGCCAGTAGGTCTTCTGCAGTGTTCCTCCATTCTTATGTTCTAAGCGTACTGCACTTTGACGTATTTGCTTGACATTAATAATTGCATCTATTAAAGTAAAGGAAGAGGAATACATAAACGAGTGTCTTCCAAAAAACGTCAGAACCTCCTGTATAGTCAGAAAACTTAAGCGGGAGAATAATGACACAATACACCAATGCTTCACACAGGATGGGAAAATTCTTGTTAGGAAAACGAATGTAGGTCAACTGTACACAATCACGAACGAGAATGATCTATCACGATTTCTCAGGGATACTAATCTTACAGAGAATAACTAAACAATGTCCAACCTAAAAGCCTACGTAGTGTAGTGTATGTTTTGCTCCATTATTGTTCAAATTTCATTGTACAATCTCTTAGTAATTAAATAATCAACTACCTCATTATGTGATTTTACTAGTAAGCATAAGTCACCTTATGTAATTTTCTTATTTACTATTGTTTGCTTAAATATTAGCTGAATTGATACTTTCTCTGTCCATATTACTACCTCATATTTTTTTTAAATACTATTAATTGATATTACTTACTAAAATTAATAATAACTATTTTTACTATCAGTACAATTTACTTTTAACATTTTTGACATCATTTAATTATCATTACTTGTCTAATTACAATAACCTGTTTTAATACCACATTTACTATCTTAGAGTACTCTTAAATACCTTGTACTGCCAAATAACCTCTAGTATAACTACCAGTCCAATATTGAATCCAAATAACTGTTCTTAAAATTTAATACTTGAAATAAACATTACTTTTTCACTTTTCTTTTTTTGCTAATTAATCTTTTTTTGTAATCATTATTA